CGTCAAGTCTCCAAAACGAGCGTTTCGTACGAGACTTCCTCCAAAAGTCACACGTCATGGCTCCAAAACGAGCGTTTCGTACGAGACTTCCTCAAAAACTCACCAATCCCAATGTCACAGCGACATTCACTTCTACCACAACTCACAACCTCACCATTCCCTGCGCCTGCCACGAATCTTTCCGCGTCCACTCGTCTAACGCGCACAAAGTACTGCGCCTGCCACGAAAAGTGACAATATCATCTCATGTGAGCTTCAACAAAATTTGCACCACACCACACGTTTGGAATGATTTCGGCCCGTTCTGAGCACACTCCCATCCACCAAAATCACCATTTCAGCTGAGACTTGTCACGCTTCGATGCCACACCCTGAAACGCAAACCCCAATGGCACGGCCACATCCAACAGCCCAAAAACACGACTCTCCAAACGCTAACCCTAATGGAACTACGCAAACTGCGGATCTCACAAAACGCTGCGCCTGCGCAGCGAAATGCATCACGTTTCTTGCGGGACATGTCATTTTCATGCAAATCACAATGTAATAGCGGCGCAAACTGACACGTGACACATCCATGAAAAGTCACTTGCGAAAGCTTCCCCCAATGGCAGGGCCATAGAGACATCATACGGACGGTTGCGGACGGTTGCGAACTCGAAAACAACGTCGGGCAAACACAGCTCTACCCTCAGACTCCCAAGTTAAACGAGAACCCTTGGTACGCATTCGGGAAAAAAACAAAAAACACTACGGAAAGCAATAAAAACAAATCAACAAAATCAAACCAAAAACAAATTACTTTACTTCGAGTGATCCCCACCATGACATTTCAATCATTCGTCTTGATGCCATAGCGAGGAGCTTGTTGTCATGGTCGTGAGTATTGTAGTCCTCGATTTGCTTGTGGGTCCTCGGGTTGTGTGCTGTGGTTGTGTGTTGTGGTTGTAGCTGTGTGCTGTGTTGTGGTTGTGGTTGTGTTTGTGATTGTGAGTTTGTGGTTGTGTGTTTGTGGTTGTGTTTGTGGATGTGTTTGCGGTTGTGTTTGTGGTTGTGTGTTTGTGATTGTGCTTGTGGCCGTGTTTGTGGTTATGTGTTTGTGGTTGTGTGTTTGTGCTTGTGTGTTTGTGGTTGTGTGTTTGTGGTTGTGTTTGTGTTTGTGTGTTTGTGGTTGCGTGTTTGTTGTTGTGTGTTTGTGGTTGCGTTTGTGGTTGTGTGATTGTTGTTGTGTTTGGGATTGTGTGTTTCTGATTGTGTTTGCAGTTGTGTATCTGGCATATCTTCTGGCATTTTATCCGGCATTCTATCTGGCATATTTTCTGGCATTCTATCTGGCAATGTATCTAGCAATCTATCTGACACACTATTTGGCATACTATCTGGCATATCTTCTTGCAGCATTCTATCTGGCAATCTGCCTGGCATTCTATCTGGCATTTTATCTGGCAAACTATCTGGTTGAGGTCCAGCGGTGCGCACTGCGATCGGATCCTTGCGGTTGAGGTCCAGCGGTGCACACTGCGATCGGATCCTTGCGGTTGAGGTCCAGGGGTGCACACTGCGATCGGATCCTTGCGGTTGAGGTCCAGGCGTGCACACTGCGATCGGATCCTTGCGGTTGAGGTCCAGGGGTGCACACTGCGAGGGGATCCTTGCGGTTGAGGTCCAGGGGTGCACACTGCGATCCGGAGCTGGCCAGACAAGATCGGCGAAGCAGATTGGCGAGGAAGGAAGCAAGGAGGAAGGAGGAGGACGAGGAGGCGGCGGAGGCGGAGGCGGAGGCGGAGGCGGAGGCGGAGGAAGAACAGCTGTGATAAAATCTAACAACCCTCACCTGGCAGGTGGGGAACAAATCCAAAAAAACAAAAACACAAGTTAAAAACAAAAAACAACAAATCAACAAAACACAAATGAAAAAACAAAAGCAACAATTCAAAAAAAACAAATGAAGAAAACAAAACAACAAAAAACATCGAGAAAACAAACGTGTTTTTAATCTGTGTTATTGTTTATTGTTTTTGTTTTTTCATTGTTTTTTCCGCTTTTTTGTGTCGCTGCCTTTCGTTTTTTGCATGTTATTTTGTTTTTGTGCTTTTTGTGTGTGTGTGTTTTTGTTCATGTCTTTTTTGCTTTTTGTAGTTGCTGTTCTTTTTGTGTTTCTGCGTAACCATCAGACATAGCCTAAGTGGTTTACTAGCCACCGCGCATTCTGGGCGGTCGTGTTGCCACGCCTCCTTCAACTCCTCCAGCGTGGTCGGTGAGGAACACTTTTCGGGCACCGAACTGGGCACGGACTCTGGGCTGCGCCGACTGAAGTTCACCTGCACTTGCACAGAGAGAAGGGTTGTAAGGTGTGGGGGGGAACTCAGGGGCCAGACAGACTCATGCTTCACCGTGGAGCCCCTCTTTGTCTTGTCAACCAACACCACCTTGTTCCCAAAACGTTTCAAAGGGAAGCAGTGATGCTGTTCCCGATTGACACACAGAGCCCGATTTGCACACACAGAGTTCGAGATGTTGCGTTTGTCAGGGTATTTATCCCGAGATTTTGTTGGGCCGCCAGCTACAACCACGTGCAACATGCTCCCAAACACATCCTCTGCGCCTGGGGGTTGCACTTTTATATATTCTATAGCAATCCATCATTGTGTGTCTTTGGAGACCCTTGAATGATCGTGGAATGTCTTCATCTGGGCCATCTCCGATTCGGGCGAGTTCTTTATCAGTCTGACGCTCGATGTTACGATGTTTGGGGATCGCCCACGGTAATTTGCCCAAAACATATACTCTCCACTCTGATCTTTCCAACTCATCTGAAGACCTGAAAACTGAGTAGTTTGAGTGACCCTTGGGGTACTAACAACCATGCAGTTACCTCCCAAGGCAAAAAACAGGGTTTGTCTTATGATCAGGTGTTTCTACATCTCACTCTTGGTCATTCATCACTTGACCAAAATCGCGCCTTGGGGTTCCTCGGTGGTTTGTACAAAGCACCGCCTCAAAGCGCGTCCAAAGAACACAGTCGAATATATTTTTTTAATATATTTATATATTACATTAAAGATATTTTACATCTGCATTGGGCCGGGAGCGTCCATTGTTCCATTGGCAATCTGGAATGGGCGATCCGAAAGGACCGATATACTAGCGCCAGCCAATGGATTGCCATTGGATGGAAAATACATAGTCAAAAATTGTCCATAAACCACTTTTGGGTGGTGCTGGTCAGTGCTGGTATGTGCACTTTGTGGTGGTTGACTCAGGGTCAATGTGGCCAACGAAATGTTTGAGTATATGTTCTACGTTGCTGAAATTCAAAGCCCACTGGTTGACTCCGGAATATTAACAGGTTCCTTTGTAGCCTTCCATCGTTTGTAGAGTGAGGCTTTGACCCACACCCATGTCACTCCAGGTATTGATGACGAAGAAAGGTCTTTCAAACTGGCCTGCCCACCTGGTTATCTGGTTTTGTGAGTGATCTCATGTTCTTCTATAAGAACCTGTGAGGAACATCAACAGCTTTGGCTACGCACAGGCAATGGCTGTGCACAGGCAAGATGCTACCAGCGCAGGAAGCTTGCAGAAGGTGTTTCTTCAGCTCGTGGGTGGGCGTGGGGACCCGGCCAACCGCACACCACCCTAATTGCAAGATTATTGTGATTGGTATCGATGTTGTACCCACAATAGCATGACGCAGCGCGCGCTCAGGCCTCCTGGGAAACATCTTCTTAACAGGGCATGACAACAATGCCATTCTATATAATCACAGTTGTGGGCAAAGCAACTGTGCAGCAAATCCACCCAAACAACTACAAATAGCACCATCGCAAGCAATTAACTGATAATACAGCAAGAACCAACAACCACAACCACAACCACGACCACGACCGCGACCGCGACCGCGACGACGACCGCGACGACGACGACGACGACCACCACCACCACCACGACGAATGCCGACACCAGCAAGCCGTGCAAAACAACAACAGTGAGGAAACACATATTAAAGTATCTTTCTCGGATTTGGACAACAAAACACATGAGAGAGAGCACCGACATGATGGAAACTACGGATCTCAGGCTACAGTATTCGATCACTCTGCAAAACAAACACAGGCCCCCTCTAAGACTGTGGGTCTGGTCCAACACATTAAAGCGGGAGCCTGGAGCATGTCACAAGCATCATCTGCAGCAACTCCTGCAGCATGATCTGGCATGTTTATACTGCAAGTATAGATCCTGATCCAACCATACGGGGGGGGACTGGACCAGCAGGCGTCGTTTTGGGTTCGGACTCCGACCCACCCAGCTTCAGTCTGATGCCCCCGGCCAGCCAAGGACCTTCTCATCGACTCCTGGGGCTCCGCAGAAACGCCCGGTGGCCACTGAAGTGTCGTGATCAAAAAAAGTGAGATGAGATTCGGGTGGGTTTTGGGACACCAGAATCACACAAATGCTCAGCAAGGTTTGGTTTTGAGATGAGATGTTTGATGTTTTCTCGAAGGTGTTCTTTCCCACTTGTGATGAATTCCACCCATGTCGTTGGCCAGCCAAGTTTGGTCAAGCAGGTTAGCTGGATAAGGATGATAGAGGACGATAAAGGTACCACATCGAGAGCTGGTTCCACAGTCGGATGCCTACCTAGTTCCGCATTCGGCAATCGAAATACTCAATTTGGAGCCTCAAGATCGGACATCTGAGGCTCCAAATATGTCCTGCAGACAGGCACTCGTTGGTGCACACTGGCGAAACCATATAAGCTTTGTTGGACTCCAGAATGATCACACGGAGCTTGCTCACCATGTTTTTAACCTCCTGAACTGAATCCCATGTTGTTCCACCAATTGACTTTAAGGTCGCGAATGGTCTCTGCCAAAAAAAGAAAAGGCTTCCCAAACAGGTCACTTGGAAGAACCCTCTTCCATTCTTGCGCTCTCAGGGCGCAAAAATAAAAACACCCTCGCCTGGTTGGCCAGGACGCCTAACAAGGCCTCTCGGAAGCTTTGCTGCTCTTTCTTCAGCTCCTTGGGCCAACGAATAATTTTTGACATCTCCCAAAGGCGTCAAAGGCTCCATTCACAGCGTCTGAGACCGAACAAGACTCAAGTCATCATGAGTCTTAAAGTAAACATGCGCACACTTAGAGCTTGGCTGACAAGAGCTGTATCAGTTTCGACACCCCCGAGAGCTAGTTACTGATTACATTAGACCTTGATTCGCAGGAACAGCAAGGCGAAGGGTCAGCAAACTGCATTGCTTGCAACAAGCAAATTAGCCCGTTACTGCTCTAGCACTTTACGAAGAAGAGGAGGGTCACAGCTTGCTCAACAGTTGAAAGTCGGCAAGATTAAAATTGGTCGCAGGTACGTTTGCACAACAGCTTGGATGGGTCTTCGTTGGCCCATGCCATCCAAGTGTCCGTGGGACCCCTGCTCTGTACAGCTGAATGGAACAACTTAGGATGAATTCCGAGGTCTCCCAGATTTGACCCACATAGCTTCTTGTTCTCAGTAGCGTCCTTGCTCCCAGTAGTACGGCCAGGAGCCCCTAGTAGCGTTCTTGCTCCTAGTAGCGATCCCAGGAGCCCCTAGCGTCCTTGCTCCTAGTAGTATGGCCAGGAGCCCCCTTGCTCCTAGTAGCGATGCCAGGAGCCCCTAGTAGCGCTGCTCCCAGTAGTAAGGCCAGGAGCCCCTAGTAGCGTTCTTGCTCCTGGTGGCGATGCCAGGAGCCCCTAGTAGCGTCCTTGCGCAGTACGGCCAGGAGCCCCCTTGCTCCTAGTAGCGATGCCAGGAGCCCCTAGTAGCGTCCTTGCTCCTAGTAGTACGGCCAGGAGCCCCTAGTAGCGTTCTTGCTCCTATAGTAGCGATGCCAGGAGCCCCCAGTAGCGTCCTTGCTCCTAGTAATGCAGTCCTTGGATTCATAAAATACACCAGAATAATGACTTTTTTTCGTGCACAGATTAATAATAGCCCCTAGATTTTTTTTTTTAAGGGGTAGTTGTAGTGGGATATTTTTTAAATGTTATAGTTTACTTTTTCCCTTTTGAGGTTGCTGAGATTTGCTTATCTTACGGGCTTTTGGATGGAGATTTCCATAAAATAAACATTTGGAGATTTCCATTCAGATTTGATGCTTTTGGAGGCTTTTGGATGGAGATTTCTATTAAACATTTGGAGATTTCCATTGAGATTTGATGCTTTTGGAGGCTTTTGGATGGAGATTTCTATTAAACAGTTGAAGATTTGGAGGCTTTTGGATGGAGGGCTTTTGGATGAAGGTTTCTGATTAAAATTGTGAGATTTCCATTCAGATTTGAGGCCTTAAATCCCTTATTCAATAGTATTGAAAAACAAAAAAGCATTCAAGCAAAGGGGGTAGTCCAGCAAGCAGCTTTCTGAGATTATTTAGGGGGGCCCTAGAATAATGTCTAGAGATTTGAGGCCTTAAATCTTTATTCCTTTACTTTGCCTTTTGCTTTGCTTTACTCACCCTCTATTCCTTATTTACTTTTCCTAAGCTCTTTAGTCTTTAAGCTTTCCAAAAGTTTCCAAAAGTCAGTGCGCACTTTTTTTACCAAATCCCTTATTCAAAAGTATTGAAAAACAAAAAATCATTCAAGCAAAGGGAGTAGTCCAGCAAGCAGCTTTCTGAGATATTTATTAAGGGGGGGCCCTAGAATAATGTCTAGAGATTTGAGGCCTTAAATCCTTATTCCTTTACTTTGCCTTTTGATTTGCTTTACTCACCCTCTATTCCTTATTTACTTTCCTAAGCTCTTTAGTCTTTAAGCTTTTCAAAAGTTTCCAAAAGTCAGTGCGCACTTTCTATTCATTTTGCCCGAAAGCATTGCGAAGGGTTCTTCCGGAAAATCTCTTGAACACTGACACTTCTATACTTACACTTACACACTGACACTTCCACACTTGCACTTGAACACTGCCATTTCTACACGTACACTTGAACACTTACGCTTCCACATTCCACACTTACACTTGAACACTTACACGTCTATACGTATCCCAGTGTAAGTGTAAAAGAGTGAATGAAAGCATCCAAGGGCAAGTATGCAAGTGTAAGTATCCAAGTGCAAAAGTATGCAAGTGTAATGCAAGTGTATGTAATGCAAGTGTAATGTAAGTATCCCAGTGCAATCCCAGTGCACGTATGCAAGTATGAGTATGGAAAACTTTCACGGGAGATGTCCTAATGAAAAACATTTCCCCACTTTATAAAATCTCTTTTAAAGGCGGAGGGTGGGACGAACAGCGTCAACCGAAAATGCAACCCTCTGCGGAGATCGTGCGCGTCGAGTGCGCGAAATGCAGGCGAGACCCTCTGCGGAGATCGTGCGCGTCGAGTATGCGAAATTTAGGCGAGAGTGCGATGCGTCCTGCACGCGGGCAACCCTCTGCGGAGAACGTGCGTGTCGAGTGCGCGAAATGCAGGCGAGAGTGCGATCTGTCCGGTGTGCGCGCAACCCTCTGCGGACATCGTGCGTGTCGAGTACGCGAAATGCAGGCGAGAGACTGCGAGCAACACTCTGCTGAGTTTGGGAGGCCTGCGAGCTACTTCCTTCACTATATTATCTACAGTGAAGAAAATCACCATTTGCCCTTACCAGCAGCTCAAATGCTCACGTCGGTGAGCTGAGCTGTCACCGCTTGGCCGCCGGTGGGGGGGTTTGGGAGGCCTGCGCGCTACTTCGTTCACTATATCTACAGTGAAGACCTTCACCAGCAGCAGACATAGACACACGCACACAGACAGGGACTCATACACACACATCACACACAGAGACCCACGCACTGCCTCAACTTACTCGGACACACTCTGACACTGGTTTTCAGTTAACTCAATTACCACGATGGGAA